CTAATATTTCTTAGGAAAATTAAAATTATTAAAAGTACAGCTGTTCCCCGACTTACGACGGGGTTAGGGACCCAAATCCAGGTCGTAAGTCGAAAATGCTTAAATTATACATAGAAAATTTAAATTGGGTGTCTCTTTTTCTTCTCAGCACCACAAAACTCACTTTTAAGCTTGCCAGCCATTTTAAAGTGAATTACAAACGAAAATTTTGTCAGTACACAAGCGCCAATCACTGATGTTGGGACTCGAATTACGTAATTGGACAAAATTTTGTATGAACTGAGGTGATGCATATGTCGGGTGGTCGAAAGTCGGGAGTATCTATATACAGTCAGTCCCGACTTTTGACAAGGTTGAACACGGCGACCAGATTGAAGTAAAATGAATTAATTAAAATCGAAAATCTAAAATAATATAGAAAATACATAGCCATTTTAAGGCAATTGCAAAAAAATTTTGTCAGTACATAGCGATCACTAATGTCGGACTTCGAAAATACCTAATTTGAAAATATTTTTATCGACTAGATGGTCGTATGACTGGGTATCGCAAGTCGAAGAGTACCTGTATATACTTTGTGAGAGCCCTCTCTTACTTTATAAGTTTGTTTATTTAGTTTTGCTTATAGGCGTTGCAAAGAGCTTATTTTATATTGACTACGTGTGAAGACTTCTTGAAATTCACTTGTGTTTGTGTATTCTGTAAAATAATGATTGTTTGTGATCTACCTAACTGAAGAGTTAAGTAGAGTTTCGACGCCGGGTGGTGACGTCAGAAGTCGATGATGTCCTACTCTGGGAAGGATGACGTCGCACGTCTTCTGGCGATTAACCGGGGCTGACCTTTCTTGTGGCGATCAAACCGGGGCTGACCTTTCTTGTGGCGACCAACTCGGGGCTGACCTTTCTTGCACACTGGAAAGGCTTGATTGTTTAAGCAATGCTGCTTGCTTGTCTGGAACCACGATGACAACCTCCTAGTACTCCTGTGTTGTAGTGCTGGCTGGCTGGCCGTTAGCTGCTGGGACACTGAGACAACACTCGGGTGGGCTCGGTTAATGTCGGCTCCACTCGGCTGACCATGAGCTGTTAGCTGGTGCTGGGGAGTTTGACTCATGTGTCAGCAAGTATTTATATTGTCTTTGTTACCACTGTATTTCTGTGTACATGTTTTGCAAGTGTTTATAACAACTGTCCACTTATTTTCCTTGAAAATGCTTTGTTTGATGATGATTCACTTAGTGTCACTTGTGTCACTTGGCTCTTCAATATAATTATTGTTTTTGAGTATTGCACTAGCCTATAGTATTTGTCTCACCGTTTGCTACCAAGTGTGATAGCTGTTTTGGTATAACACCAATTGTTTTAATTAAGTTCTGGAACCCTTAAGTGGTAGGGCTTGATGTAAACACTTCTTGGCATTTTCTGTTTATTAAGTAGCAGGTATATACATAGATATAATCTGAGAGAATAAATTATGAATTCTCTCCAGGGAAGTGTTGTTAATAGCACTTTGAGATATGAAGTGAACTGCTCCTCTCTGGGCCGTGAGAGAGTGGTAGCGAGCGAGCAGTGTTTACTGAATCAGCTGACCCTGGCTTGACCTTTGAGAGAGATGCAAGCCAAGTGATCTAGAGTCTTGAATAACATGGTGACTCACTTGGTGAATAACTTGGTGTTATTCATTAAGGTGAATATTTATATACGGTAAGCAAAGGTGCTGTTGCATTCTTCCCCACACCACTTCGTTTCTGAGATATCTGAGAGACATTCAGCATGATGTCTAAGCACAGTAGTTAGTTGTCTGAGATGTAGACCAAGAGGTAACAATGAACAGCACTTCATGTGGTGACAGGACACAGACTGAGCGGATATAAACAAACCCCATGCGCCAAGCTGCGCATTTGGCATGGAATTTAACGGAATCACGCTCGATTTAGTGAACTAGCTTTCTAAATTGAGTGAAAATAACAGAAATTCTATTTAGCGTAAATTTTAATTTAACCCTTTTGCCCCTGGCCGTGTTTCCCCAGAGGTAAATCGAGAAAAATCAAAACATTTCCAAAAATAATTTGTAACCTTTTTAAATTATTAAACAATCAAAAGAAGTAAGAAAAACTATATATTGACCATTTAGAAACTTCCCTGTGGCAGCAGTGGCGTGGGAGATAAAGGGACTGTTTTTTGGCAGCTGACGCTCGTGGTCACTCGCGCACTTAGGGGCTATTTTCTGCTTGCCTTTGTATCCGGGATGGCCAGTAATGCATATATTTACTGGTCATAATACCTATTTCCTGTAAATAACTCATTTATTTGCATAATTTTTCATAAAAAGTGCTCGGCAACACACACGCAGTTGGTTGCCAAGCTGTCTGGCTGTCTTTGTGTTTCGTAGAGCAAATAATGTATAAAATACTAATAATTCCACAAATAAATACATTTATAACATAATCGTAGCGTTATTTTACACTACGGTATAGTCTCGGTTTCTGCGATCAATTAAACCCATGGAGGTCCTCATAAAGCGGCTTCATAAGCGAAAAATAACAGAACATATGGGATTAATTGAAATAGAGACTAGGCGACCCCAGACTACCCTTTTTCCGACACAATACGTGCGTTGTAGTAAAATAACATCTTAATTTTATGATGGTATGCACACACAATTAATATTTAAGAGAAATATCAATAATATTAGGTTTTTAACACTTACGTAGTAGAAGAGATGGCTGGGCACACGGGGATGGGGGTTGGTTTCGAGTGCAGGGGCAGATTATTGGCCCCACCTGTATCCTTATCACCTGTATCACTATCCACCACAGAGGCTTGCAGGGCCTCTTTGTCAAACCCTCAAGTTCATATCCTCACTATCACTGACTTGGGCTGGCTGTGGCGGGTGAGGTGAAGAACTCTGTAATGTTTTGTTGACTGGGGCCTAGATGGCACCCTGCCCGATGCTGCTTCCTTGAAAATGATGTAATGTACCGCATAACTAATAATTGCCGGTCTGGCCAGGTGCATGTAAATGACCAACCCCGTAAAGGAAATCCGTGTAAATCGAGACTATACTGTAATACTACACTACTTTTAGCAATATTACTTTGATACAACATGATAAAATGGACAAACAATGGAAATGAAACAAACTAGAGTAGGTAATTATGTTCAGGAAGCTTCCCCTGTGTGGCGGCGTTGGTGACAGGCAAATAGACACACTGGAACCTGTTAACCGGCTAGGCATTCATGGCGGAAAAAGCACGTTCTGGAAATCTCAGGGTGCATGGTAACATTCTGGAACTACCCGGGTTGCCATTTGGATGTTCTGGAACGTCACCGAGTGCGCCAGTGATGTTCTGGAATGTCACCTGAAGCGTAAGGTTAAAGGAAAAGGCGTTTGGTAGTAGTTATTCAAGAAAATACTATTACATTTTCGGACTTTCATATTTTTTGGACTGGCATCTGCCCCAATTAGTCAATTTATTGAGGTTCTACTGTATACAGTACACTGTATGTCCTAAGCCGTCAACATTTTCAACTCTAAGACCCGGTGATATTGCTATATGTGTGTAGTACAGTAATGATTTGTGACCTGCACATATCTCTTAAACTATATGGGTTTAAACATTTGCGGCCTCACCCTCTGTGGTGCACTCACGGTTTCTTGTGATGTCACGTCGCCTGACTTCCTGCTCGGCACAAGTGCATTGCCCTGAGTGCAACGAATGCTGCCAGTTAGACACTGCATCTTGAGAGACAGAATATTTCTTATTTTATAGTTTTATATTATATTTTCTTTATTTCTATGTCATATTAGAGTAGTGGAATGGTTTTTCCACAACTTTTACATTTTCATTATTTGTTACAATGACAACGTGCATTTCCATCTCTCGCAGGCCACAGCTGACTGGCATGCCAGCCAGCTGACTCCCGGCACGTGTCTCAGAAAGACGGACTTTTTTAACAATTCTGCCACTCTATTAAAACAATACGGCAAAAGAAAATATAATATAAAACTACAGTAATACCCGCTTTACACGTCTTTTTTTGTACACCGTGTTTCTACAGTTTCTACATTTACGCGGTACCCTGCCTGAACCGGAATTCTCACTTTACGCTGTGCATCTACTCATATATGCAGGTAGTATAACTTTTTTTTTAGCTCATAAAATTCATACAAATTACCGCCAGAATACAATTTACATTGCTGAATTCTTACAATTTGATGATATTTTGAATATAAACATCGATTTTGCATTAGACATACTGTACAAATTTTAGATCTAATGTAAGTATTTTGTTTACTCTGAGTAAATATGTTATCTTTTGTGCAAAATATATGACATTTATATTCAAAATATTCCTGGTCTTACAAAATCCAGCAATGTCAATTATATTATCATAACTTTAGTTTGGTATTATTTATTACTATATCTAAAAATCTAGTGTTTTCCCCAAACATTTCTCAGAAGCCAGTGTGAGAATTGTCCATTTTTGAATGGACATTAACTTGGCGACTGTATTTCTCTATTTCTCTTAAATATTAATTGTGTAGTGTACCATCATAAAATTAAGATGCTATTTTTACTAGAACATAGGCATTGTGTCGGGAAAAAGTGGAGTTTGGTATCGTCGGTCTCTATTTCAATTAATCCCATATGTTATGTTGTTCACTTTACATGTTTCTCCCGGGCCTCCGTGGGTCAATGGGTTCAATTGACCGCGTAAAGTTAGGGTTCACTGTATAAAATAAAAAGCATATGTGGAAAGAATTTTTTTTTATGGATTTTTTATTTATTTATTATTATTTTTTTGCTTCCCATAGGTGAACATCGTGGTTTTGGGTCTTTGCAGTGTTTTCATTAACCTAACCCCTCGTTGTTTAAGGGATATATGTATGTACTTTCAGCAAAGAGTCAGATTTACTTTTTTTTAAGTTATCTTAATGTTTTCCTAAATTTTTCTGTGTATGCATCATTAAACAATTTTCTCTTATCTCCTCAGCGTGCCAACATCTGGGTTGCTGCAGTCACCAAGCAAATGTTAATGCTTCACAGGTGTTTGAGTTCCTCCTCAAAATGCTGGAGGTAAGGCTGAGTAATTAGTAATAATATGGTGAACCATTTTTCATTACCAAGTTAATAAGGTAAAGTTTAAGTCCTCAAGACTGAAATCATTCATACCCTTCTATTGCTCAGTAATAGATCATGGCCCCTTGAGGTAAGGCTGGAAATATTATCTTCTTTATTACAATTCACCCTACACACCACCACCACCATCACCACACCACACACACACACCACCAATCACCACCTACACACCATATCCACCTACACACCACCATAATCACCACTACACACACACCACCATAATCACCAGTTCACCTCACCACCACTACTCACCACCTTCACACCACCCCCCACTCTCACCACACCTTCACGCACCCTCATCACCAGTTGCACTCACCACCACCACCACCTTCACCACCCACCATACTCACCACCTTCCCCCACCATACTCCACCACCTACACTCACCCCACCATAATCACCTGTTTACACCATCACCACCTACACTCAACCCCCACCATAATCACCACCTACACCACCACCACCACCATAATCACCTGTTTCACACCATCCACCTACACCATCACCACCTACACCACCACCACCATATTACCACCTTCACACATCACCACCAATCACCACCTACACACCACCACCATAATCACCTGTTTACACCATCACCACCTACACACCACCACCATAATCACCTGTTTCACACCATCACCCACCTACACACCACACCACCAAATCACCTGTTTCACACATCACCACCACCATCACCACCTACACCACCACCACCACCAATACCTGTTCACACCATCACCACCTACACCATCACCACAATCACCTGTTTCACCATCACCCCACACACCCATCACCACCTACACCACCACCACCATAATCACCTGTTTCACACCATCACCACTACACCCACCACCATAATCACCACCTTCACACCATCACCACCTTACACCATCACCACCATAATCCCACCACCCACACCATCACCACCTTCACACCATCACCACCTTCACCATCACCACCTTCACCCACTGCCATCACCACCTTCACACCACCACCACCATCCTACCTTCACCGGGCACCTACCACCATCACCACCTTCACACAGCACCTACCATCACCACCTTCACCGGCACCACCATCACCACCTTCACCTCACCCCCCATCACCACCTTCACCTGGGCACCTACCACCATCACCTCCCTCACTTGCATCTACCATCACCTACCACCTACCATCACCACCTTCACCAGGCACCTACCACCATCACCACCTTCACCTGGGCACCTACCACCATCACCTCCCTCACTCATCTACCATCACCTACCTACCACCATCACCACCTTCACCTGGGCACCTACCATCACCACCTTCACCTGGGCACTACCCATCACCTCCCTCATGGGCATCTACCATCACCTACCACCTACCATCACCACCTTCACCTGGGGCACCTACCACCATCACCACCTTCACTGGGGCACCTACCACCATCACCTCCCTCACTTGGGGCATCCTACCATCACCTACCACCTACCACACCATCACCACCTTCCTGGGCACCTACCACCATCCACCACCTTCACCTGGGGCACCTACCATCACACTCCCTCACTTCATCTACCATCACCTACCACCTACCACCATCACCACCTTCACACGGGCACCTACCACCATCACCACCTTCACTTGGGCATCTACCATCACCTACCTAGCACCATCACCACCTTCACCTGGACCACCACCATCACCTCTCTCCTTGGGCATCTACCATCACCTACCACCTACCACCATCACCACCTTCACCTGGCAACTACCACCATCACCACCTTCAAGCATCTACCATCACCTACCACCTACCACCATCACCACCTTCACCTGGGGCACCTACCACCTCACCTCCTCACTTGGGGCACTTACCACCATCACCACCTTCACCCAGGGCACCTACCATCACCACCTTCACCTGGGGCACCTACCACCATCACCACCTTCACCCAGGGCACCTACCACCATCTACCTTCACCCAGAGGCACCTACCACCATCACCACCTTCACCTGGAACCTCCACCATCACCTCCCTCATGGGGCACCTACCACCATCACCACCTTCACCCAGAGCACCTACCACCATCACCACCTTCACCTGGGGCACCTACCACCATCACCACCTTCACCCAGCACCTACCACCATCACCACCTTCACCTGGGGCACCTACCACCATCACCACCTTCACCCAGGGCACCTACCACCATCACCACCTTCACCCAGGGCACCTACCCACCATCACCACCTTCACAGCACCTACCCACCATCACCTGGGGCACCTACCACCATCACCACCTTCACCCAGGGCACCTACCACCATCACCACCTTCACCTTAGGGCACCTACCACCATCACCACCTTCACCTGGGCACCTACCACCATCACCACACCTTCACCTGGGGCACCTACCACATCACCACCTTCACCTGGGGCACCACCATCACCACCTTCACTCAGGCACCTACCACCATCACCACCTTCACCAGAGCTACCACCATCACACCACACAGGCACCTACCACCATCACCACCTTCACCTGGGGCACCTACCACCATCACCACCACCTGGGGCACCTACCACCATCACCACCTTCACCTGGAGCACCACCATCACCTCCCTCACTTGGGGCATCTACCATCACCTACCACCTACCACCATCACCACCTTCACCTGGGGCACCTACCACCATCACCACCTTCACCTGGGGCACCTACCACCATCACCTCCCTCACTTGGGGCATCTACCATCACCTACCACCTACACCATCACCACCTTCACCTGGGGCACCTACCACCATCACCACCTTCACCTGGGGCACCTACCACCATCACCTCCCTCACTTGGGGCATCTACCATCACCTACCACCTACCACCATCACCACCTTCACCTGGGGCACCACCATCACCACCTTCACCTGGGCACCACCACCATCACCTCACTTGGGGCATCTACCATCACCACCACCTACCACCATCACCACCTTCACCTGGGCACCACCACCATCACCACCTTCACCTGGGGCACCTACCACCATCACCTCCCTCACTTGGGGCATCTACCATCACCTACCACCCACCACCATCACCACCTTCACCTGGGGCACCTACCACCATCACCACCTTCACTTAGCATCTACCATCACCTACCACCTAGCACCATCACCACCTTCACCTGGGGCACCTACCACCATCACCTCACTTGGGCATGCACATCACCCACCACCCACCACCATCACCACCTTCACCTGGGGCAACCATCACCACCATCACCACCTTCACTTGGCATCTACCATCACCATCACCACCACCACCATCACCACCTCACCTGGGGCACCTACCACCACCTCCTCGGGGCACTACCACCATCACCACCTTCACCCAGGGCACCTACCACCATCACCACCTTCACCTGGGCACCTACCACCATCACCACCACTCCAGGGCACCTACCACCATCACCACCTTCACCCAGGGCACCTACCACCATCACCACCTCACCTGGGAACCCACCACCATCACCTCCTCACTTTGGGCACCTACCACCATCACCACCTTCACCCAGGGCACCTACCACCATCACCACCTTCACCTGGGGCACCTACCACCATCACCACCTTCACCCAGGCACCCACCACCATCACCACCTTCACCTGGGCAACCACACATCACCACCTTCACCCAGGCACCTACCACCATCACCACCTTCACCCAGGGCACTACCACCATCACCACCTTCACCCAGGGCACCTACCACCATCACCTGGGGCACCTACCACCATCACCACCTTCACCCAGGGCACCTACCACCATCACCACCTTCACCTGGGGCACCTACCACCATCACCTGGGGCACCTACCACCATCACCACCTTCACCCAGGCACCTACCACCATCACCACCATCAACTAGGGCCCCTACCACCACTACAACCACCACTTACACCACCACTAACACCTTAATATTGCTTTTACTTTACCTTAAGGGAATATTTACACTTTACGAACCTTAAACATCCATTACCATACTATCTTTACCTCACAAGTTAAGAAAATCCTAACCTAACCTAACCTAACCTAACCTAACCTAAACCCAACTTAACCTAACCTAACTCAACCTAACCTAACCTAACTAACCTAACCTAGCCTACGAACCTCTTGAGAATCTCGCAGGCGTCTTTCTGAACTAGGATAGAGGTCAAGGTCAATCTAGTCAGGTGGTGACGTAAATAAGGTTCTTGAGGCTCTAGGTCAGGGGTCAAGAGGGGTTAAAGGTCATGGATATAGTCCTTTACTCCTGGTATGTAGTGTCATATGTTTGTCTCTCTCACTTATCATAATTATCTTCCACGCTTAATTACTCACACCCCCTTTTCCTTTCCTTACCCCCTCTCACTCTCCCTCTGTACTTACCTCCGTGAAGGAAGGAAGAGAATGGGATGGGAAGAGAAGAAGAAAGAAGAAGAGGAGTAAGAGGAGGAGGCGACAGGTCCACTTCATAAAGGTTAATTCATGTTTCCAATTTGGATGACAGAATGTGACGGACCTACATGATGGAAGGCATTACGGCTCACTTTACCATAACAGAGACATGGGATGATCGTCCTTGTGAGTGTGTGTGAAGTAGCACTGTGTTGACGCTGCCAGAGGAGGGTGAAGAGGGGAGGGGGGGAGTGGGGGGAGGGGGAGGGGCAGTTTCCAAAGGATTGAATTACATACATATTTTGAACAGTTACGGCGACAGACACTTAACTCTAAAACTGGGATTCTTGGTGTGTGTGTGTGTGTGTGTGTGTGTGTGTGTGTGTGTGTGTGTGTGTTTTAGTGCCAGTCTGTGTACATTATTGCTGTGTGTGTGTATCACTGTTGGTGTGTATGTCTCTCAGTGTATGTGTAAGTATATAAATGACTCTGTGTATGTTATCGCTGTTTGTGTTTT